GCCCGCTCACTGTCCTGTCTCCCCGCAGGGCTTCACCTACGTGGCCCCGTCCGTGCTGGAGAGTCTGAAGGAGGGCTTCTCCTTCGAGCCCCGCTCACGCCCCGCCCGCCGCCACAACAGCAGCCCCCGCACGCCCATCAGGTCTGTTCATACTCACTAAATATTTATTTATATGTCTGAGACACACAAATCAGCAAATCAGAATGATAAAATGTCGTTAATGATAATTTTTGACACTAAAAACCCACAAATGTGACCTTAAAAAACATCTAAATGGAATTATTTAGCTTTGAATTTTTCTTTTATCATTTTTCTAATTTTTGGTTAGAATTCTTTATTCTAATTTTATCTTTTTTTTATTGGATTTTCTTTCGTTTAGATTTAAATAATAAAAATGCAATTTATTTTATTTATTTTTTTGTTTTTCAGTTAGTTGTGAATAATAAAAAAACACTATTCATTTATATATCTGAGACACACAAATCATCAAATAAGAATGATAAAATGTTGTAAATGATTATTTATGACTCTAAAAACCCACAAATGTGACCTTAAAAAACATCTAAATGGAATTATTTAGCTTTGAATTTTTCTTTTATCATTTTTCAAATTTTTGGTTAGAATTCTTTATTCTAATTTTATCTTTTTTTTATTGGATTTTCTTTCATTTAGATTTAAACAATAAAAATGCAATTTATTTTATTTATTTCTTGTTTTTCAGTTAGTTGTGAATAATAAAAAACACTTTTCATTTTATTGTTTTAGTTTTTCATTAAAAATAAGAAATGCTTTTATTTAGTTGTTTTTTTAACACAGTGGTTTTAAAAATGTGAGCTAACAGCCTCATTTTTCCATCAAGGATTTGAGGTTTGTGGCTTTTCTGAGTTTGGATTTTCCCAAATTGTCCATTTCTCCTCTTTTTTTTAATCCCATCCAGGTCGTTTCCTCTCATTCGCTGTAACTTCTCTGTTTCTTCTCGTAGTCCCCTGAAGTTTTCTCCGGCCGGACCCTTTAAGACCTGCCTGGACGGTGAGCCGGAGCCCTTCTCCCCCCCGCCGGCGGCGGCCGCACCGCCTCAGAACTCGCTGGAGAACGGCGGCGCCAGCCAGCCAATCAAAACGCCCGCCAGGAACAAGAAGAAGGGCCATCGGAGATGAGGGGGCCCGGGGGGGGCGCCTCTGGAGGTCTGAGGAGCCGGAGGTTCGTTTCCTTCCTCTCAGTGAATGAATACATGTCACACACCTGCTGCTCATCCTCACACAGACTCACAAACGGGTTTAATTACAGCAACAGGGAGGTGTTTCATTGGGGGGTTTAATTATTCCATCAGAGCTCCACCGTCGCCGCGTCACTTTTTAATTAGAGATCTGATAAAGGATGGATTAAAATCTAAATCCGGCCTCTAGCTGTCAGAACTCGACTTTGCAGAGGTCCCATTGCGCTTTTTGGGGGTTTTCTTTGGGATATTTTTTTTTGTAATTTAGGCTTTTCTTTGTGTTTTTGAGGTTTTCTTTTTGTAATTTAGGTTTTGCTTTGTGTTCTTTGGGGTTTTCTTTTTGTAATTTATGTTTTCTTTGTGTTCTTTGGGGTTTTCTTTTTGTAATTTAGGGTTTGCTTTGTGTTTTTGGGGATTGCTTTGTGTTCTTTGGGGTTTTCTTTTTGTAATTTAGGCTTTTCTTTG